AAGGCGATTAAATATCATTTACTAGGAATACACGTAACAGAGTAAGTAACCACATCTAAACATTGACCATGGGTGACATTGTAGCATGAAGTAGTAATTAACCAGATCTAATCATTATAGTCTATGTGGACATGTGAAAGAGTAAAGAACTACAATACAAAATTACCTATAATATGTATATGTGAAGAAGTAATTAACTATAACAACATAGTAGGCATTATGTAGTAAAATTATGACAAAACATTAATCATTAAGTAGGTATGTTACAGAGTAATGAATGAAGTCCACACATCATCATCAAAGTGCAGCAAGTTAAGGAAGAATAAACTATATTGAAATATTATCTCCTATGTATATATGTTAAGGGGTAATGAAAAAGAATTAAACATGAACGTCCATGTATTCATGAGAAAGAGGAATTAGCATGATCTTATACTTAACTACAACTAAACAGTATCTACTAAGTGTACATGGTAAGAAGTAATGAACTATGATGAAACATTACCTTCAAAGTGACATAAGGAATAAGGAACTGTGACTAAACAGCATATTATGCGTTATATGTGAAGAAGTAATGAACTTGAATTAAACATTAACATCTAAGTATACATGTTATGAATAAGCAACTATTTCTAAACATCAGCTGTTGCGTATATGGAAATGACCAATGAACCATGACCAAACACAATATTCTAAGTGGAACATGATAAGGAGGAATTAACTATGTCTAAACATTATCACCTATGCTTACATGTAAAGGAGTAATGAATTATGTCATAACACTGTTACGACAGCGGAAGTCACGTGACGTGGTAACACGTGATGAGTTTCTAGAAGGATCGGGGAACATCACGAATAATCCAGTATTTGCTAGGTGCCTTCTATTTTAGTATATAAGCCGGTAAATAGAGTGACGGCAATAATTGTATAGCAGAGAGAGAGAGATTGAAGATATAGATGCAAAATTGAGTGAAGCGCGGTAGTAAGTAAATTGCGTGAATCGTTCATTGTAAATTATAGCGTGTGTTTAACTTAAAGTGACTGTGGAATTTAAGTGTATTGCAAAGTTGAATTGAGAAAGAATAAACTAGTTTTATTTGAGAAAGGACTTGTATCACTGAAGTTCTTTGGAGAGAATTTTTACGAGTAATTAACAAACGACCAGAGATGTAACAAATTGGTGTCAGAGAGTGGAGCAAAAATAAACAAAAGAAGATGGAAACGAGAAGCGGCAAATCAAACTACAGCTCAGCAGATTTGATGGCAGAAATACAAGAACAGCAAAAGAAACAAGAAGAACCAGAAAAGAAACAAGAAGAGAGATTACAGCAGCTGTTGGAGGAAAAAGAAAATAAAAAAGAAGAGAAATTACAGCAGTTGTTGGAGGAAAAAGAAAGAAACAAGAAGAGAGATTACAGCAGTGGCAACTAAATCAAGAAAGGAAACAGGAAGAAAGTATCCAACAGTTGCAGGAAAGTCAGCAGCAGCTACAGGAAAATCAACAACAGTGGCAAGAAGTAAAATTGGAAAACATTAGCAAATTTCAAAGTGAATTAAATATATTAAAGGATGATTTACTTTCTTTTAACACAAGGAGGATATATTAGCCATGGACCTAATCAGCCTCAGGCAATGGGAAGCCCCTTCCAGATCCCACAGCTAAATTCTAATGCAGACATCTTCAGTCCTGTTAGAAGTCACATCCCAGATATGAATGTCAGCAATAGGGGTGATCTAGTACGAAGGAAGCCACAGGTATTCGATGGGAAAACACCGTGGGAAGCATATAGAGCACAATCTGAGCTCCTGGCAGAGAAGAATGGATGGACAGAGGAGTAGAAAGCAATATATCTGGCAACGAGCTTGAAGGGACAACCAACGGAAATACTTGGACAATTGTCAGAAGACGACAGGCATAACTATAGAGCACTGGTAGCAGCTCTAGAACTCGGGTA